TTTTTGTATTTTTAGTAGAGACGGGGTTTCACCGTGTTAGCCAGGATGGTCTCGATCTCCTGACCTCGTGATCCGCCCGCCTCGGCCTCCCATAGTGCTCGGATTACAGGCGTGAGCCACCGCGCCCGGCAGAATGTTAGGTTTTTTAACAGCTAGACTCCCAAGACTGTCAGAGTGAGCTTCTCTGAGGAGCGGTGGTCAGAGTCTGACTTTGGACACATTAGTTTGTTGATTGCTGTTAAAAACTACAGGGTGGTGGAGTCTCCCGGCCAGGCTTAGATGGAGGTGTGCAGAGCAAGTCGGGAAACTTGCCCGACTGAGCAGGGAGGCATTCAGACACATCACACATCTGGCACACAGGCTTTTCAACACTGAGGAGCAGCCCTGCGTAAGCTGCGGGCTGGTGGAGTGGGTCAGGCCCAGCCAGGGAAGAATACTCATCACCTATCAGTCTGGGGCATAGCACAAACAGTGAAGCTCCTGGTTGACCCTGAACCACTGGCCAGGCTCAAGGCAGGATACCCAGAATGGTGACAAGCCTTTTTTCTTGCAGAGTTATTCCCAGAACCTGTGTCTTTTGGCCAAGTGTTTCCTTGACCATAAGACACTGTACTATGACACAGACCCTTTCCTCTTCTACGTCATGACGGAGTATGACTGTAAGGGCTTCCACATCGTGGGCTACTTCTCCAAGGTCAGTGCCTGTCCAGGCTGTCCCTGTGCCCTATCCTGAGCCAGGTCCCTTCCCTGACACTCACCTGCCCCCCTTTTCCAGGAGAAAGAATCGACAGAAGACTACAATGTGGCCTGCATCCTAACCCTGCCTCCCTACCAGCGCCGGGGCTACGGCAAGCTGCTGATCGAGTTCAGTGAGTATGTGTGCTGCAGCCAGGGGGTAGTGCACCCATCATCGGTGCCCCATAGGCAGTTGTGCCAGGCTACCGTGATTCTCAACTATGGCTGTGCAGCCCGGTCTCTAGGGGAGCCAGCCAGAAATGACAGTGGCACTCTCCCAGAGTTCTCTCCATTCAGGCTGACTGCCCTGCTTATCTGGGGTAGGTTCTCAGCCCCACAGTTTGCTCCTTGGCCAGGGTTCTAAGTGCCACTCAGCTTTCCCCAAATCTGACTTACATGCTCCTGCCTGGGGCCATGGGCAGGTTAGTGAGCCGCTGGTGCTCATGTATCTGGTAACCGGTGTCCCATGATACAAGTCCTTGGGCAAGGACCAGTGGTTAATGTCCCCAGTTGTCCCCTGAGCTGTGCAGGCAGGTGTCCAAAATGCTGTCAACAGATACACGTAAGCATGGAATTCTCCCTTGCTCCTCATGTCCAGTGAGGTCAGTCTCTTAAAGCCAGAAGGGACTCTGACCTTCATCACACACGAGCTCTTCAGTGCCCTCCCCAACCCTGAGGCTCCTTCGCCTTCTCAGCCTCTTCCCCATCACCCCGCATTCTATCTCACCACTCACTTGGAATAACTAAGCTCTGACCTGAGAAAAGAAGAGGAAGTTCTAGCTGTTTGCCTGGTGAAGACACAGAGGCTTTACTTGATCAAGGTTATGGTCCATTCGTGAAATTTATTGGTTAAGTGATGCCCAGATGGGGTCACATCCTCAGAACTTCTCAGCCTGGTAGCACAAGTGGATGCTTGAAGAAACTCAGTCTTGGAGCTCAGACTGCAATGGAGATGGGATGTGGGTGGGACTACCAAGGGGCTAAGGTCCATTGTGAGAGTGAGGAAGGGCTTCTAGAAGTCACAAACATCCCAGGTCCCTGGTGGGGAGAATGAAGACACTGCCCAAGAGATGTGAAGCCACTCAGGGCTGTGCAGGGTCAGGATCTCACTGGGGACTGCCTCCCAGTGTGCAGCTATCAGCATGAGTTGGAGGGAAACAGCCATGGTGGGGGTCAGTCACCTGGCTCTCAGGAATGGTCTCCCCAACTTGGGAAGCACTTTGGTGCACCTTTTCTCCTTGCATCCTCACAACCACCCAGTCAGGCCACTCAGGTCTTAACAGCAGCTGACACTCCCAAGATCCCAGCTAGGAGGACTGATTTGACTGAGAATTCAAGCATTCTCAGGCCTGGATTAGAGACAGGAATCTGTCCCTACTTCCTTCCTTACATGCCCAGACATGGAGCCTGGGATGGCAAAGGAAAATTGGAGGCACTTTCTTCCCCTGAGCCATTTTCCCTGCATCCCCTGCCCATAAGCCTTCACTGGCCTCTGATCACCCTCGTGGTTGACTGCAGCTGCTCCTCTCAGTGCTCTCATGCCCTCCACTGTGCTCAACTCCCAGGGGAAGAGTGAATACTCGTTAGTTCTTCCTGAGGGAACTGAGGCGCAGAGAGGCGGAGGCCACAGAACTGCCAAGTGGCAGGGCCATGATGGGAACTAGGCAGCCTGCCTTGGCGACCTGTGTTTTTAAATGTTGCTTATGTTCATCTGTGACCTCTTACTCACCCTCTCCTGCTCCATTGCTTTAGGCTATGAACTCTCCAAAGTGGAAGGGAAAACAGGGACCCCTGAGAAGCCCCTCTCAGACCTTGGCCTCCTATCCTATCGAAGTTACTGGTCCCAGACCATCCTGGAGATCCTGATGGGGCTGAAGTCAGAGAGCGGGGAGAGGCCACAGATCACCATCAAGTGAGCCTGGCGCTGCCTACCTGGGGGTACATGGCATGGCCTGTCTGTTCCTGGGCTTTCTCACTCTCTCCTGGGGCTCCTGGGGACAGATGAAGGTCCTCAGGGGACCTGACCTTTGCTCTCCTACAGTGAGATCAGTGAAATCACCAGCATCAAGAAGGAGGATGTCATCTCCACTCTGCAGTACCTCAATCTCATCAACTACTACAAGGTAGGGAGGCAGGCAGGGTGGAGACAGGTGTGTGGGATGCAGAGTGCAGGCCCCTGTGGGCTGGCCACTTGCTGAACCCATCTCGTCTGCCCAGGGCCAGTACATCCTCACACTGTCAGAGGACATCGTGGATGGCCATGAGCGGGCCATGCTCAAGCGGCTCCTGCGGATCGACTCCAAGTGTCTGCACTTCACTCCCAAGGACTGGAGCAAGAGGGGGAAGTGGTGACCAGGCACTGCGCCCTGCAGTGCTAAGACAGCAGGACCGGGGCTGATAGCCCAGCCCGCCCTCACTGCAGCTCCCACAAGGCGCTCTAAGGGAGATGGGGCTGAAAAGCTCGAAAAGGAGGGGACAGGCCTGGCAGGGTCCATTGGTGCCCGGCACCAAGGCGAGCTCAGGGCTCAGGCTAACTCCAAGGTCAGCTGGCCACAGGCCCAGGCCTGCTCTGAACCAGGGACCAGAGGGAGCCAGGCAGCTGTGTACAGTGAGATGGGGGGTGGGGGAGCTCTGTACAGAGGGCTGGTGGTTGTAAAAATTTCTTTTGTAAAGTAGAAGTTGGGGGTGGGGTGGGTGGGTGCTGGCTGCAAAAAATTCTGGCTTCTCTTATCCCCATTGCCCACGGCAATAAATTGTTTCTATATGCCAGAGCCATGCAAGGTTCTTGGGGGAAAGGGGTCCATGCTGGCTTAGGGGCTCTAAGGTGCCCGGACTCACAGGTGCTGTAAAGAGCTCCTTTATTGGGGTGATGGAATCAGTGGTTCCAAAGAGCTGGTTTACTGCTGTGAAGGGATCGCAGCTTTGAATTTCAAGCTCTGGTTCTCAGTCCTCGGGCACCTGTGCGTGAATCTGCAAGAGGAGTCGCCTCTACTGTTGGACTTGTAAGGCAGGGCGGCAGGCTGGCCCCCAGACCCGGGGAAGGACCCAGCTGTTCAGAATAACCCCTTCTAGACATGCTAGGAAGAGGGGTCAGGGAGCTACGCTTCCCACGCACTACCCAGTAGAATCCTCCAGGCTTCGTCTGCCCAATTGTGCTCCCCAGCCCATCCACCCGGGGACAAGACGGAACTCCTCATCTACTCACCGCTGCCGCAAGACTGGGCCAAGTTAGGGCCCCACGCACTTTGGCATCCGGGCCAGGGATGGTCTCCAGACCCCACAAGGTGAAGTGGCTGAAGCTGGCAGTGGCTCCAATGAAGCGGTCCTGAGGAAGGGGCCTGGCTCAGCATCGGGACTACAGCTCCCGCCCGCACCCCCTTTCAACCCTATTCCTTTGCTCACAAAGTCCCGTTCCAGCGGCGACTCTTCTTGGTCGTCAGTCCCGGAATCCTGCAAGGGGTCTGGCTTCCCCATGGACACTTCCTTCTCTTCCGTCACCATCACGTATCCCACGAGGCCAGGCGGCACCGCCACCTCCTCGCCCCGTAGACAGCGGCCCCGAAATGACACTTCGAGTCCTGGAGCGGGAGGCGCAAAGAGCCTCAGGCAGGACCCACACTGGGCCCAGGACCTGAGCCCTGCGGAGCGAGCCCGGAGCTGCCCTCCCGCCACTTCCGGACGCACCACGATCCCCCGGAGCCCAAGAGATGAGGGGCGCGCGGACCGGCGCGGG